CCCCCCCCCACATACACACACAAAAACAAACAAGACCTGTCACCCTCAGGCCCCCAGCTCTGCCCCCAGCAGCCCAAAGAGGTGGGGACACTGAACTCTTTGGCTCTAACACAGAACCTCTCAGCTCAGCTACCAGGTGCCACCTGGTGCCTGACACCTGCTACCCGGACCCTTTTCTTATAGGGTATAAATGCTACAGGAAAGGGTTATGCTGTGGGGTTCTCCAGCAGTCACCCTCTGCTGCAGGGGAAGCCTGGGGCTGCTCCTGCTGGTTCCCCTCTCTTAGATGGGGTGACGATTCTTTCCTCATTGGCCTGCCCTGACATTAGGTGAGAGGGTGCACAGGAAGCTCAGTGTTTGGCACACAGTAGGCACTCCATCAGTGGGGGTTACTTCTCTGTCCCCAGCTCACAGTGGGACTTCAGTGAATGCTGTGCTATTGAATCAGAACTTCAAAGTTGGAACGGGTCTCGGCAATCCCAGAGCAAACAGCTTCCACCCAGGGCAGGCTCCCCTGGAAAACATCCCACCAAGTGGCCCCCCAGTCTCTATTGGATGGGCAAGCTCGCGATCTCGCTCACTCCACCTTCACACAGCTGAGAGACCCCCTTCTGCTGGGTTTTGTGGAGAGGACTTGGGTCCCTAGATCCTCTGCCTATGGCCAGGTGTGCTGGGCAATGCCTCCTCTAGGAAGGGTGGGATGCCAAAAGGACTTGTATTATGGGGGAAACAGGCAAGTGAAGGGCCCTGTTGTCACCTCAAACATGGCTGTTGCAGTATGTGTTTAAACTATAAACTGTTCAGGGGTCACACACATGGCCCTCCCTTTTCTCCAGGACCCTATCCCCACCTTATTTCTCCCACACGCAGTCCCTGAACCATTGGGCACTTTGAGAAACCAATGATATTTGCTTTGCTGTCCCATTTTTTGTCCCCGCGTCCAGGAAAACCCAGAATGTGACCTGTCAGGAGCACCGATTGCCGTGCTTTCCTGATGGGATCCCATGCGCCTGCCTTGCAGCTTGCTTGCTTTCTTCCTGAGCAGACACACGCTGCCCCTTTCAGAACCGCAGCGGTCATCACCAGGGAACAACTGAAATGTCCAATAAAAGGGGGAAAGTTTAAGTGACTCAAGGAACATCCACTCCATGGATTATTTCTAAGCAGTAGAAGTGATGTTTGCAAAGCAAGGGGAAATGCTTCTGCTACCCCGTTAAGTGAAAAATAGGATATAACATTGTACGTGCAGTACGGTCTCAGCAATGCACAGCAAACCTGCAGAGTCGAGAGAAAATGACTAGAATCCCTTTGGAACGAACACACCTGATGTTTGCGGGCTGACAGGCTTCACTCTGAACCTCAGATGGGTGCCAAATGGCCCAGCATACACCCTCTCGTCCTGGGAAGTCTGGTTTATCATTCTCCTCACTCTCAGCTCCTGACTTCATGCTTCCGTGAGGAAATAGAAGCCACCATCAGCCACCCCCTCACCTTCCAGACAGCCTCACCTCCGTCTCACCCATCTCTCTGCCTTCTCTCCCAGACAGCAGATGAAGGGTCCCTGTTCCTTTCAAAAGCTAGTCCCCCATCCCTGGATCCATCTGTCTCCCCTTCTCCTGCCCTCACTTCTCTCTCTGCTTCATCCATCTCTCCCTTGCCCTCCCCTCTCAACAACTGCCTGATTCGCTTCTCCCTACACTCCTCTTTACTCATGTTCTAGAACCAGGATTCTCTTTTAAAAATTATGTTTTTATTGATTTTAGGCAGAGGAATGGAAAGGGAGAGAGAGATGGAAACATTGATGAGAGAGACATCAACTGGCTGCCCCCTGCCCACCCCCTACTGGAGATCGAGCCCGCAACCTGGGCATGTGCACTGACTGGGAATCGAACCTCTTGGTTCATAGGTTGATGCTCAACCACTGAGCCACACTGGCTGGGCAGGATTTTTTTTTTTTTTTAATTAAAAATATTTTCAACTACTGTTGACATTCAATATTATATTAGTTTCAGGTGTACAGTGTAGTGGTTAGACAATTATACAACCTATGAAGTGATCCCTCAGA